GTCATATGATTGAATTCCATGACAAAGAAAAATCATTTGACATCGTGGATAGGAGGACCTTGAGGAATCTTCTCCGACATTTTATGGTGCATCTTAAGATTATAACCATTATACGGGTCGTCTATCACGGACCGGATTCTAAATCTGTACATGGAGGAGTAGCCGAGCCATACGATAAACCAACTCATATTCGACAATGTGAAAAACAAACCTTAATACGCAAAACTCAGACGACAGTACATAAATTGGAAAGACGGCAGGAATGACCATGGTGATAATCCGATATTACCATTATTTCATTCCGGTTATGTCAATTCAATCTTATCACACTTTGATTATGTGCTACTGCTGTACATGCTAATGAATTTTACTACAAACCACACATTCAGGAACATTCGTATTCTAGCTCTCACTTAATTCATTTGTCGTCTGTCATTGAGTATAAACGTAACGAATATAACAATAACATTCAAAGCTCAATTATATGTATTGAACAAGAGAATAATAATGATAGTTATGTAATGAATCTTGCCGAAAAGTTTCTCTTTGGGTAACCACCACAAACAAAGTTCACTCAATCATTAGACATCCATCTGCACGGTTAGTATCAACGGTGTGAAGAGAAATATAATTTCATTTGCGTCACTACTTAGTAATCCAGCTTAAGAGTATGTAGTGTGGCGTCCAGTCACGTTTGACTATGAACACCATTACAAGGCGTTTGCATACCAGAAATCAGATAGCGTTTGCAGGTTGTAACGAGATATATTCGTTGGCGATCTCGTGGTATCGAAAGAATACCGAGATCGTGCCAAAGGAATACAAGTGGAATCACTGGGCGGACGTAAGAGCGTACAAGGTTACAATCAACGGAAGGATAATGGATGTTTTTAGTACAGTTAAACAAACAAGTACAGTAAAACAACCAATGGTACAATTGGTTATATAATAATTGTTTTCACTAAACCAATCGCGTTCTCTTGATAAAAGTAGGTCACTATAAGTCCTATGTGGCTGAGAGAGAGAGAGACCCAAAAGCGTCTTAAAACATAACTGTCTTCTTCAGTTAATGGTTGTGGTCATTAAAGCTGAAAAGAGGATGATATGGGTAGTGCTTATTTAAACTTCAGATGTAACGAAATAATCAGTTAATTGCCGATGAAGTCCATGCAAAACTCATACAAATAAACTATATTTACTGATTATAAATGTGATTACACATACGACATCACACAGAAAGAGAAGACATGATCTAATAATGTAATTTTGAAAGTTACTAAATATACGTGTTAACATAAGTTATTCAGAAATGAATTTGATTTGCTTCATAAGGTCAAAAATATTTAAATATCAATTAAGATATGTCTTATTTTAAGAAAGTGACTAGAAATTGAGGTCATATTCAAGAATTATGATTATGAACTCAGAAAACTTTACAGTTTGTGTTTCTTATATTGAAATATACACATCTGAAAAGTTTGCTCTAACCTGAACAAGATTATGTTGATAATACGTGAGTTAATATTTTATGATATAATTCCTAAGATTTATTCACACTACTATTTTTATGTTTGTTCTATCGTATTTAAAAGGTTTGAATAATTTCTTTCTGGTTAGCGTTTTTTTATCGAGTTAGTTTTCTACAGGATGGGGTCGTTAACCCCCATGCCCAACGTTTATTTAATAACTGTGTTCATTAGATGATTATCTCCCGATTAGGTGGTGCATCGTATCATTACCGTTTAATATTTTCCCGTCTTGACTTACGAGAATAATTTTATGAATGTTTGATAAATACCATCATGATGGAAAGATCATTGCTTGTTCATTCAAATAATACTGAGTGAGCAGGTGACATTGCACATAACTTGTGAAGAGGTCATTTGGAATGAAAACTTCAGAGAATGATATCAGCGATACCAACTAGAAGATTCTACAGATAATTAGATACGTAAAGAGAACTTCTTAAGGAGTAATGAATAAGAAATAAGTCGCTGATTTGATGATAAAATGAAATCCATTATTAAGTTCATCATTGAGTTAATATCCCGTTTAGTATATTAAATAAAATCGGTTTATCTGAAGATTACCAACTGTAATGTTCATTTGAGTTTAGCTCGAATTTAGTTTTAAATACGAATAACAAGGGTCTATTTTACCATTTTTGTCTTCCATTGAAACTTGGTTCATTGAGACTATTTTCTTGTAAACGATTTATTCGAATTCTATCATCTGTATACAGAGACCCCACTAACTGTTATCTCACAATCTTGCCCAACATAACCTCTCTCTGAACAGATTAAGGTTCAGTGTTTCGTCTTATTTACTAGTATAAGTGATTTAAATCATATTTTACAACCAATTTTAGTGACTTAATTTCATTTCAGAATTTTTCAAATGAAGTCAGTCAGTTTATGATATTTTACATAAGTAAATATATTTACTAGTTGAATTCATGAGTCAATTGAAGCTAGACCACCATGAAAAACTTGGGAACACTGAACAGCTTTCTCGCCCTATTACGGGACTCCTCAGAAGTGCTCATCCACGATCCCGCCTACGGGATTCGAATCCAGGATCTATCGGTCTCACGCGCAAATGCTTAACTCTTACATCACTGAGCTGGTGTCCAACGCTGTTAATGTCTAACTTCAACCAATTCACGAACATATTTGTTAATTCACTAAACATTTTCTTTGACACTTCAGTTTATCTGAACTGCGATCAATAATAAAGTTATTGACATTTTCTTCTTGAGTTTCATTTCTCCTATCTAGTATTTGATAAGAGAACAACACAACTGTCAGCTGTGAATAGTCAATATCATGTATGTTGCTATTGTGTATTTTTCAATCTTTTGTTATCCTTGATAAGCAAGCCTAACCATAATGTCGACGTGAACTGGATCGGTTGTTAGATGAATGGCGGTTGTCGATAAGGATGACCGGAATTAAGTTTTATCTTGTTGGGATTCATTAATTATATTTGTTACCATTTAAACGGATCAGTAATAATGCCATAGCGATTAATAAATCCCGAAAATAAATATTTCCATAATTAATGCTGATATCATTAGTTTAACTGTACGAATATCGTCTGGAGACACTCGGTAGCGCATCCACACCAGCTCACTTTTGGTACACCATACCGCATATATCTTGCAACGTCTGATCAGTTTCGACTACATACTCCTCGACACATTGACAATTTTGAGCCCTTTCTTTCCTGTCTTTTGGTCTAAATAGCTTTTGGATATCGACCACAAAGGTGATGTCAACAACAGCGTTGACACTCAATGAATACCCGTGATATCTTTATTGGCTTTGTATCTAGTACACGATATATTACTATTTTTGTGTGTCTGGTTCAGTTTTATGCTAAATTTATAAACCCCACTCTCTGATTGATTCACTTTCGAGATAGGGTATGTAGAACTATGGTCTACTATAAATAAAAATAATATATTTGTAATATCCCAATGAGTAGAAAATTGGATTTTCTGACGTTTCGTGACTTAGTGTAAGTCACTTCTTCAGAGAATAAATAACCAAATTAAAATTAATCCAAGTTTAAATAGTACAACGGAACAATGCAAGAATAATATTCGATCAATCAAAAAACAGGTCTGAACAAGTTGATGTCATGTCATTTCTGTCAAGGTGATTCATAAGTGATGGGTATGTAAATTTGTGTGTGTATGTATGTGTGCATTGTTTAAGAATGAAAACTTGTGTGACCTTTATGGTAAGAAAGGATAGAGTTTAAATTTGTAATATGATAGTGTGAAATTGTAAATACGATCAGACTGAGTGGCTACGATAGATGGTCCAAGTAGGATGTATAGTAAGACCTTCCTTTCTATTGAGAGAAGTAGGATTAAGCATTATATGGAACGCCTCAGTTACCCTCCTTTCTTTGTAGTTAGAAAAGCCTTTTTGCAATAGTTTGATATTTTTAAAGTCGATTTGGTGGTTGTTGAAAATGGCATGAACTGCTATTGCCGATTTAATTTGAAGTTGGTTCAGTTCTACAGGATTGTTAGGTTTCTTTGTGTACCTAATATGTTCTTTGGCTCTAGTCAAGATTTCGCGGGATGACTCTCCAGTATAATAGGCATCACAATCGATACAACCTAATTTGTAGACGCAGTTCTGTGTGGACATGAAAGGGATTTTGTCTTTCAGGCGAACTAAAGTATTACGTAGTGTGTCCGTTGTTTTGTAATACACTTTGATTTTGTGATGTTTTAAGATTCTTTGGATTTCTTCTGTTGTGCCATGACGGTATGGTAGAACTACAGTACCAATCCATGGCATTTCATTCGAATCATTATTAGAATGTAATAAACTGTTTTGTTTTAATATGCTTCTAATAATCTTCATAGGAAAATTATTAAATTGTAAGATGCTAACTATATTCATTTGCTCTTTTTGTTTGTCTTCCTCTGATGTGATGATCTTGTTAGCTCTTCTAAAAAGATTTAAGGCTAGTGAGATCCTTGCACTGAAAGGATGTGCTGAATGGAAGTCAATATAACGATTTGAATGTGTCGGTTTTCGGTAAATGGAAAGGTTTAGACTTCCATTTGGATTTCTTTTTACTAAGCAATCCAAGAATGGTAGCTCACCATGTACATTTTGATTTCCATTCGTGAATTTGATGTGCGATGAAAGTGTATTTATTCGTTTTGAAAAAGATCTTAGATGAGTCTTTTTTATAATAACAAATGTATCATCTACATATCTAAGCCAAATTCGTGGTATAATGTTGTGGGCGAAGATATTTGATTCTATGTATGCCATATGGTCTACTATGATATTAGTACTGCTCTAATAATAGACCTAATCCTAAATTCGTAGATTTGTCATGATTTAACTGCTTAATCTATAAGATCTTACGTGGAAGTCACACCATCGACTACATCAACTCACTGCATCGTATCAATTACCAATACATGATGTAGAACAAGGTTAAGCTAGAGAAAGAACAATATATTTAATATGAATAAACAACATGCTTTATTTGTTTGTCATTAATTAGAATGATATTGTACCAAAAAGTTTATGTTATATATAGAAATGGTAGTTTTAGAATACTTAAAACAAACAAATAAATAGTAGTGATTTTTTATGCCACTTTGTTGACTTCAACATGTATGATCGATGATAATGCCAGTAAGAAAAATTGATTTTTTAACTTTGTACATCTTCTGTTGAATAATCAGGTTAACATAACGTAGAAACAAAAAGTTGAATACAAGTTGGATTTAAGACATGTATATTTCAAGACATTTGTATGAACAAGCGAACTGAATGAGTGAACATTGAAACTAAATAAATGCAAACAAGAGATACTGTAAATAACTACCTAGTGAGTAATGGGTGATTCGGTCTACATATAAAGTGATTAATGTGTATATTATAGGTAACCAATTTTAATATAGATGTTAGACATATAAGACAAACAGCACTAAAATATTTTCATAGTTAGTAATAAATCATAAATACGAGTACATATCTGAAGTTAAGAAAGGAATAATATAAACAAAGGTAAATAGACATAAATGCATACAATGTAATCATTTATCTTAAACATGCATCATACTTTTAAAAAATTATTCATTATACTTAAAAAACTACACTTTGTACCCTATTAGTCTATTCTACGATCAAAATTTTATTGGGTTCGAGTCCCAGAACTAAAGATAGATTAGAATTCTCGATGTAATTCAATAATTGAACTACAGTTTGTGTACCAGGCTTTAAGTTACATCATGTGGTGGCTGGTGACACTGTCTGATAACTCAGACCTAAGTAGATGGATATAGTCCCGATTGTTAGATCAAATTTACATATTACTGAGGTGCTCATTTATATTAAGGCAAATCTGGATCTTAATTTAAGTGGAATCTAATCTTATTTTAATGAATTGGTAATATGTGGGACATCCAAATCCCAAGTTTAAATGTGTTATCTAACAGTTGAATATCTTGTTCTATAATCATTAAGTCGCCACTCCAAAGAGAGAATATGTTGTTTGATTCCCTGTTATATATAAAAAGCAGGAAATTCTACTTCAGTGACCCGTTGGTCTGACTTTAGTTTGGAAGAACAAATGAGTATTCTATGAACATAATTTTTCCCATTTAGTTCTGTATACTACACCTAGACTAACACCGTTTGAGCGAAGGCGGTGATAAGTAGCCAAATACGGACTGAGTAGGATGAATTTATTTCTGGCATTCATCTACTCGGACAGACACTAAAAAATGAGGACCGGGAAAGCAAAGCGTAGAAGGGAAAATTCCCAACTCACTTTGATAAAGCGTGAGTCACCATTTGTAGTCAGACAGAAAACAAGCTAAAGACATGTGATGAGTCGGGTAAGCGATACGCACATGCGCTGAAACAGATAATACGTAGTGTAACACAGGGACAGGTACTGGATGATATAATTAGTGAGTCCCTACAATGACAGAGCACACATAGCTGTAAACAGTTATCTAGACATCATAGTGTCTACACCATAGATTCAAGAAATCTCACTGTGTCCTATGGACTATGAGATCAATACATATTAGGGGTTATTTTAATCTTTATTTTTGTATGATCCTGTATAATGATTCTCAATTATCAAATGGTATCTCGTTGAAGAAACACGTAGTTCAAATGCAACATCATAACAAACAGTAATGAACAAACTTATGTTTCACTAACCTCACTGCTTATATTAATTGTACATAACCGACGGGATTTCCTCGAGTATTGTTAGGATCTCTCTTTACAGAACCCAGCTACCCGTATTGCTTAGTATTCTTCGGATACCTCACTCCACTTGACTAGTTCTCAAATCAGAACACGGTTGAACAGAAATGCAATTATATTCCAAATAAACAAGATTGGATGTGATTAACAGCTACAATAAAAACGTCAGTATACTTATAATTCTACATGAGAAGATTCTTAAGTCTTCTCGAGTTATTCGCCAGCGCCGACAGGCTAAGAATGAACCAATTAACGTGTCCTAGCGTCATCCTGCATGGAACATGCATTAATCCAATACATCGCTTGCTAACAAGTATGGACTATCAATTTCTATATTTCAATAGTTTGTTGTACCTTCATGACGAACATTACAAAAATTAATTAGAATATGAACCACAGGTTAGGAATCAGTTACTCATAATCAATTTAGAACCTTTCACAAATGTGCTTAATCTCAAGTTGATGCACTACGACAGCACAGAGATAATGCTAGTAAAATGAATAACAAAGGAGTATAAATAAGAATAGTATTAATAATATGAAACAAATAAATATATAGATTTCCTAGGAAATCTTAGATTGCACTGAAGTGTTTGAGAGAATGAATGAATATATACTACTGTTACTACTCCTAAGCCCTGTCATCCAAGATCACGATTATCACGCGAACCCAAATTAAGTAGTCTGCATACACCAGCATGACTCAAATTAGTGGGAAGTAGTTTCATAGACTAATGAATTGTTTTAGCTTCTTCACCCATAGCTTCCTTTTAACCTACCCCAACACAGATCAGTACTGCGAATTGAGGCAGGTAGGTAATGATTAGAAAAATTTGTTGTAAACTTAACAGAAATGTAACGCTTTTAACTATAACAGCAATAATATACAGTTGAACGAATAGATTACTTTTTGGATGTGACCTCATTTATGGAGTATATTTTATGTGAGAAAAGGAAAACCCAAGATTTCATCAGTACTTTTTATTTAGTAGACACACATATAAGAAGTATTTATTAATGTTCACCAAAAAGAATCATTGTTAATTTATTTTGGAGGAGCATCTCCACCACCAAAAATGGCGGACCAGCCTTGCAGAGGCCATTTTATGTGCCTGTCAGAATTCAGGTAGTTCTTGATTGGTGGTAAATTCTAGTTTTAAGAAGAAAAAAATAGTTAAATGAGAATTCGTCAGGTTAAACGAGAACCAAGTACATATTATTATGAACTTACTTCTATACGCTGTTTGAAACTAATTAGTTTTGGAAATGCATCCAAGCACTTTGGGTCCATGTATAAAACTACATCAAGAGCGTCGTACAGCATGAAGTCAAGATGAGTCACCTATAAAGACAAAGGGGTTATAAGAAAGTTGGAGTGGTTATACTAGTTTTCTAGAGCTGAACTTAAACCAATAGACATTATGACAATTTCTATATTTCTGATATTTGATTAAACACATATGGAAAATTAGAATTGCAATTTTTAAGAGATTTATGAAATAAAATTGTAGGTATTAATGCCAAGGTTGGACTTGATGGTCTTATATAAATTCAGCATTGGGTAGAAAATCATATTTCTAACGTCTCGTGACTTAATGTGGACCACTTTTTCGAAGTAAATAAATAACTGAATTAAATTAACACAAGTTTAAACAGTATAAATGAAACAATGAAATTGTGTTTATAAACTTCATATTAGGCTAGCACATGACTATTTACGGATAGGACCTTAGAGAAGTTTGATTGTTATTGCATCTAAAAGCATTGTTTGTATCTGACAAGAACTTAACAATGTGCTTTCTATATTAGACAAATTACAAGTCAAATGGATAAAATCTAGTAACTTACATTATCACCATTCAAATATATATTGTGAGATAAACGATTTTCAAACATTTTCAGCATTCCAGGGAGTTGGTTGAGAAAACCAACTTTGAGAGTTTCCTTGAAATAAATGAATTTTAAGTCTATCTTACAAATTCTTTATTATATGCAATTCTTGAAACACCAAGTCTGATATCCAAAATGGCTCCCTCAAGCATAGAAATTTCTGCACGTTCTTTGGGACATCCACCCACTATGAATATAGATTATGGTATTTTAATTTACACATATTGTGTTTATCAGCTATATAACGTAAAATAGCCATAGACTGTGTTAATTTAACATCACCATCAATATAATAAGGTAGCTAAATTAGTAAACTATTATAGCAAAATAGTTGTTTTACATTAGGAAATTCCAGACCTAATTTGAACTTTTCGTCTCGCCACACATCACCATCATTGCGATCATACAAACGCTCTTCATATACTTCGCCAACATATTCCAAAAGAAGACGAGTCGGTTGTACAAGCTAAACGACAAAATCAGGTTTTAAAATTGTACAAAAATTTATACAACGCAGTAGACAATAATTATCATCTGCCGAAATCATAACACGAACATTACAAAAATTAATTGAGTAAGCCGGTGAATTTCTAAGTGAAGTCACGAGTTCACATGTTCCGAAAAGTCCATTCTATAAACGGTGCATAAAAGTGGAATTTTAGAAACTAAGTGGTTTTACTGTTTTAACTTTAAACTATTTCATTCCTAGAAAAAAATTTTAAAGAACGTTTTTGCCATATCACGATGAATTTACGAAGTAATAGTACTTGTGTCTGTAAGAGTCGAATCTCGGTTCCATTGTTTTAGTAGTACACCTTGAGTTAAAATGTGATCGTTTACTATGAGCTGATTTTGTGAATTTCAAACATAAAGTTAGGCATGATACAACACAATGATCGTTTTTATAAGAAATGAGTTTTAAACAAATCGGCAATGATTCTGAGTTAAGTGAAATATTAAGACTTGTGCTTGGAAATTTGGAAAATGAATGTGTTTTTTATAAAGTCTGTATATCGTTAAAAATATATGACAACTAGACTACCTTACCGATGAAACGATGGGGGTATATTATTCAATTAGATGTTATTGGGAACAAACAAAGATGACCAACCGAATGTACTCAAATCGTAACAACTTTTATAAGGAAACAGATGTTTATTGGCATCTACCCTTGAAACTACACTGTCAACGTCACAAAATTTAATTGCGTGTGACCATTGGTTAAAACTCTTCCTCCTTAAAAGCATTTTGGACGTCAAATCTGCGGACTTCTACCAACCCCGGAATTTTACTCATAGACTAATAATCAAGATGTCGCTTGGCGATAACGATGATTGATAACATGGCAAACATGCATGCTTACTCGTCACCTTAGTACCTAACTCATAATAAGCAGTGATTTCAAAAATACTAGTAACTGTAAGGCTGCTGCTTCAAAAGACTACAGGGTATTATGGTCTATTCGTAGGTCTTTTCAGTAGTTGGATGAAGAAGTGTTTAGATTATTATACCCGGCTTTCTTGAGACCGCATTTAGAATATGGGATTCAAGTGGAGAATCACGGTTTCAATCATAAGGCGGATATGCTGGAACGAGTTTAACGAAGAGGGACTAAAATGTTAAAAGCTCTCTCTGGCCTACCTTATGAAGACAGACTGGGACACCTCAACTTATTTCCGTTATATTACCACAGAATACGTGGTGATATAATATTGGCTTATCGTATACTGAACGATGGCTTTGGTACTAATATGTCTTATCTTCGCCCCCCTTGTCTAGGGCTGATCGTTTGAGAGGACATTCGAAGGATGTTCAAAAACCGAGAGCAAATCGTCTAGGTCTGGAGTTTTGTTTGTCCCACCGAATAGTGAACTACCGGAATTCTCTACCAAGACACGTAATATCAACACTTTCTGTTGATATATTTAAAACAAGATTGGACCTCCAGTATTACAAATTGCAAGGATTAATATAGGTCGGTAGAACTTTTATCCTTATTACCGAAGACTTAATATTAGTGGTCACAAACTCAGTTATTTGTCTACCAAGGAGCCACTGACAAACTTCTAAGGATATCTCACATCGATGATTTCTACATACCCATAATTCTTCTTACAATAACTGTTGCTGCACTTAGCGAAATTAGTTAGCTCGAAGAGCATTGATATGAAGTAGCCAACAGGTTGGAAAATTTCCAAACAAATACAGACGTTGGTATTGAGCGGAACTAAAATCAAAGCACGAACTATCAATTTGAATCTGCTGAAAGAACATACACATATCACAGTACTGTGACTACAGAGAACAGCAAGTTATAACATGAAGTCAAGTCATTTTTCATATGAACTTTAAACAACAAAGTTGAGCTTCAAGAGGAACTGGAAGGATCTCGACGTATTTCGGGGGAACATGAGGTCTAAACTGGCTTTCCTAAATTCATAGATAAGGATACTTTTTGTCTCAATTTAGAGGTCATTAAAAAAGTGGTGAGACATAATTACTTTAGGCCTGGGACGAACTAATGACTCTGATTTAACTATCTTCGAGCGGGAAATATTTTGGAGAAGTGCAAAAGCAGAACTTAAAAACAAAACACTCACGCCTCTGATTTTCCAGTAACCGAGTTTAGGGGCCATGATCAACGGAGACACGGTTTAAACGTCAAATCGTTTCGAATGTACCCGCCGTTTCGTTTCAACGACCTTGAACAGCCTGACTAGAGGCGGTCATTCCGTATTTCAATTGCCGTGGGTTGTTTGGATTGCATGAGTATCAAGTTTTTTCATATATAAGTCATCTTATGCTGCATAAAAAAGCACAAAATCAATACCAAAAGCATTAATTTATCATTCTCTGTTTTTAGTGCAAACTTTGGCTCTGTTGTTGCTTTGTAATTTGATCTGTGACTATTTATAAATACGGACACCGTTTATAAAGTAAAACACTGAGTATAGTTGCCATATTTATATTTCAATAATTCATTAGTTGAACTAAAATGTAACTAGTCAATATGGAACACGGTTATCTTAAACTTCCAAACCGGTTTCACACATGATCTTCCATAATCACAAATTCCATAAGTTCTAGACCGGCGTAAACGTCATCACAAACGTTTGAGAACTTTAATGAGTACATACAATTCTGAAAACAACAAATTAATCGTGCAATACGGAATCGGAATTAGTTGTCAGTATCACATTCAATAAGTTAATCAAATAGCAGGTCACATAATGTACCTATAAGACTCTTATTTGCTAACAGCTTTAGGCATTAGAGATTTCGATTTCCGTTAATGAAAATTCATAGGTAATCTTTACAGCACGCAAATAAGTGCTATTTACAAGTTGCTGTAGTTGGTGTCATCACAACATACAAGCGTCGTCTGACTTATGAAGAAAATGTAATTAATTAATGTGACATAAAGGAGATATAAATACTAGAAACTTGTGATTCTGCTTCCATAGCTCATTCACTTTTTGTCACGTTGTCTGCATGAATTACTTCGGACGAGTCAGTCTGTAATGCAGTGGGAATTCATGAATTTGTAGTGACTCACGAGAACACGATTGGTTTATTGAAAACAATTATTATTATAACAAATTGTACCAGTGACTGTTTTAATGTGCTTTTGTTTAACTGTGCTTAAAACATCCATTGTTCTTACACTTTGATTGTGACTTCGTGCAAATTCGGTTACGTTCTGTAACCAAGCTTGTATCCTGACACGATCTCGGTATCCTTTCGATACCACGAGATCGCCAGCAAATATATCTCGACTTGGTCCATTAACTGCCTTCTGATATTTGGCTTCCGGGGGATTTTATGGAGTCATTTGGCACGCGTTTCTTGGTAGCGGTGTTCATAGTCCATTGTGACTCGACTCCACGCTACAAATTAACTCATTAATAGTTGTTATTTGATTCAAGTCTGTGTCGTAACAAGCACTGGGAACTTCATGTTAACGGCGCTCTTTATTGTCTAACCCTTGTAATATTTCGTCTAGACATTTGATATTAGCAAGAAAAATTGGAAAGCACCATTTATATATTACTCCACAACATCCATTATAACTTTGTTCACATTTTGGTCTGCGATTGCGCATTCTTTTTACAGAAACTTATTCGTCAACCCTATAACAGACACATCATAAATCAGTATTAAATACGACATGGTTTTGTCACCATGCTCAGAAGAGACACATATCGTTTTACTTATGAAGATTTTGTGCCTACTTAATGGAGTGTTATACACTGTTCCTGTATATGTTCAGAAAGCCGCTAGAAAAGACTATCAACGTCAATTGTTACTCACATAATTTTTTTCTGATACGTTACATAATAATATGCCACTTCAGTAAAAAACAATGCTACCTATAGTGGATATAACTTTTTATGGCTAAATACAAACATGTTATATAATATTGATAGTTAGGTTAACGCTTAATTGTTTCTAATTACATTTTATAAACGACTACGGATATCTATGTTCGCCATCAACATAATCAAGGAGGTGAACCATATATAATGGCTTTTACGGCTTATTTTCATGAAAACTCAGTCTGTAATCTATTTTTGACTAGACAAATGGTGAGTGTGACTTGTTTGACTTTATATTGTTAAAAATAACCATATTACGCTAACTACAGATTTACTTAGGTGGTGAGCAAGAAATACGTCAAACTGCCAATAAATTGGAATAAAAAATGTTGCAAGCACAAACATTACGAAAATTTACGTGTGATGGAAAAAGGCTGTTATTACTGATAAATAACGACACAAAAAATCCACGACAGTATGTTACATGTGCGCAAAAACCCGTGACTTAGCACGCATAGTGTGCCTCAACGGATGAGTACAACTTGAAATGAGTTTTATGACACATATATTCAATTTGTTTTACTAATCGTAAGAATCATCTGACTATCATCCAATATAATTGTGAATAATTAGTACAGGAAAGTTGATTTCTTAGAACTAGCTCTTTGGCGTTAATTTGCACCTCACATATTTTTTGTTCAAGTTACCTTTATCAAAACTCCCGACTTCAGGGGTGCCAGTGAGCTGTAATATTAAGTTTAGCTTCCCCGTCGTGGGCATGGACTAACGATAAGAAATTGCTAACCGATTCTGTCTTGGGAAACCCTTTCAAGTTGTTTCCAGTTCCTATTCATCCTATTCATGTCTGCTTTCAATTCTCGACTCAGTATATTCTTTGGCCTTCCTCTTTTCCGTTTTCCTTTCAGGATTCCAGGCTAGGGCTTGCCTAGTGGTACGCTTTGGCCATATCTTCACTGTATGGTCTGTCCATTTCTTTTCCTGACTTCCTATTCAGCTGGAAGCTGGTTTATCCTCTCTCACAGTAGGCTGTTGCTGGTGGTACCAGACCAACAGATATTAAGTATCTGGCGTTCACAATTGTTTATAAATACCTTCGTACTTTTGGTGACAGTTATAGTAGTTCTTCACTTCTCACCTCTGCGCAATGGAACTGTCTTGACGCTTGTTTTGAAGATTATGACTTTCATGTTGGTTGACAATCGTTTTGAGTTCCGTATGTTCGTCAAGTGTAGGAATGCGGTCCTTACTTTACTAATCCTTGCCTTTATGTCTGAATCTGATCCTGCTTGTTTATCGATCATGATATCCAGGTAAGTAAAACTTTTCACCCCTTCCAGAGATTCCTTATCAAATGTGACTGGGTTGTTGTTCCATGTGTTATAGTTAATGATCTTGCCTTTCTCCTTGTATATGTTAAGGCCTGAAGATGGCATAGATATTCATTGTTTGACAACGCTTTTACCAGTAACACCTTCTAATATCAATCGTACCCACCAAGAGAAATCAAAATACAGAATCGAGAAGATCAGAAGTTGTATTTGACGATTGCCAATATATCGGAATTATCTGATCTAATCTGGCTAGCGATTGCAGTAGCAGTTGAGCACGGCGTTCCCACACGTGATCTGGTGCGGATGCATGACCGAGTGCCTTCAGCTAGGTGATTCCATTAAAACATGTGGTCAGCATCCAATGTCGAAAACTTACAGAGCTATTTATTTTGTTGATTTATTTACTGCTACATGATCACTGTCGCAGAATCTGACGCTACACTGGCTGCCTTCCCCTGCATTTGTTGGTTGCATCCAACCTGTCTGTTGTATTCTGTGCTTCTTCTGAGATGTGGTCTTCATAATCCAATCGACGACAGCGAACAGCCTTTATATGAAACCGGTTTTTACTTGCAATGTAACCGTCAGCCGACCTCTATTCACGACTTGACGGTGTGGTACGTCGTATGAGTCCCATATGATGTTGAAGATTTTGTCATGTACACCACGGTGTCGAAGCAGGTTCCTTGAGGTCCTCCTATCCACGCTGTCGAATGCTTTCTCATGGTTAAGGAAGTTGATTTATAGTGATGAGTTCCATTCGATTGATTATCCAGCAATGATCCGTGGAGTTGAGATTTTTTGTACACGACCTTGTCTTACTAAATCTGATCTAGTGATCTCAAAGTTCAGGGTCTACTGAATCTTTCATTCGATTTAATAACAATCTACTGAAAAGCTTTCCTGACACTGATGTTAGTGTGGTGCTTCTGTAGTTTTTACACTTGCTGAGATTGCCTTTGTTTGGTATATTGATCAGGTGTCCTTCTTTCCAGTCTGTTGACAGTTGTTCTTCCTCTCAAATCTTCCCGAGTAAAAATTATAGCATCTACGTCTGATTTCAATGCTTCAGCTGGTACGTTGTCTGGTTCAGCTGTTTTCCCACGCTTGATCTGTCTGGTATGCATGCTGATTTCTTCGATTATTTCTGGAGTGGTATCTATTGTAAGGTGTGAGTGTGTCGCTTTAAAACCCGGTAGGTTGTGTGGTGCTGGTCTTGTTGTTATTTTTTTCTTGAATCTTGACCAATGTTTTGATAGAGATCCATTATTTATTATGGTGTTTCTTTCTGCAGTGCAACTCCTGGCATGTTGAAGTTGATTCTTCTTTAACTCCTTTATGGTTGCTCCCCTTAGTAGTTCCCTCTACTTTGAATAGAACACGTATGTCATGGAACCTTTTGCTGAGGGTTGTTCTGGATTCGTTGAATTTATGAATATCGCAATGGAAGGTAATGATGAACTTTTGTATCGCTGTTTTTCCAGTTGTCCAGTACTTCTTTAACTTCATTTTCATCTGCTACCAAAATCAACTAATGATCTGAAGCTATGAAAGCTCTTCACTTTGTTCTCACATCTACCACCTACCTTCTGACATTTTAGCTATGCGAATGTGATTAGTCTGATTTTCCGTAGTGTAGTCTGATGAAACCCATATCGTTTATTCATGCGTTTGTGGGGGAATATAATGTCACCTATAACTATTTTGCTTGAGGCACATAAATGTGCGAATTCCCTTGTGATTCTCGTTCCTTTCTCCCAGTCTATATCGCTCCATGATATCTTCCTACTCAGTGTTGTCCACTCCAGTTTTGGCGTCTAGGTCTCCCATCTGGACGGTCAGGTCCTATCCTGGACACTTCCCTACTATCGACTGTCACCTCTCATAAAACCGGTCTTCATCGTTTCCATTGCTATCATTGGTGGGTGCATAGAACTGGATGACATTCATTGTGCTCCCCTTCTTTATTTCGAAGGGTGTTCTGATGACTCTGAATTCATGAGACTCACATCCTAAAAGTATGTTTAGTGATTTTATGGACAGCATCAATGCAACTCCTTGTATATGTGAAGCATTTTCGCCTAGAATCT